GTCCTGACCCGTATTTCACCAGCACAGGTGTTCTTTTTAAGCTTCAGGCCAGACCCCAGCATTGTGCAGTGCAAAGTCTATGTTTGCACATCAGGAATGTTAAATATTAGTTTAAAATTTGCAAATAAAACCTGTTAGGTGTCTTTATTTTCTTTGTAATTGATGGCATTGGGGCCTCCAAATCTGGCTCGATTTTAAAGAGCCGTGTGGCTCCCCCAGGGAATTACCTGACTGAACTCTACAACCATTTCTGTTTGTTCATTCCTTTTTGCTGATTGACTAGTAAGCTTTAAGCTGCATGTCCCCTCTTCATCTTTCGAGCTGCATGCTCCACTTCAGAGCTCCAACAAGGGGAAATTGCTCAAGTGGAAACTGCCTACTCAAAATGTCTACCTTGGCTGGCTGCCATTCAAACAGTTCTCATTAGCATTCTCCATACTTAGCGAGTCCCCCACCCATAGCATCCCCATGTGCCTGGTTACAATATCGCTGCAAGGAGCTGTTGGGGAGGACACAGTATCAAGAGACCATGGAATAACTGAACTGGTATTTCATTGAGGAGTGAGTACCTCTTCATGAATGACTCCTACCCTCAGGCCTTCAAAGGGAGGACTAGCAGCTTCTGAGATGTCATACCCATACCTGGAGCTACCCATCTGTATCATACCCATCTGTAGCTGCCCGTGTAGCTTATTTGGAAGAATTGCTGCTCAGGGATTTCTGAAGTGCTGGTACACATATGTCTCTAGCTTAGTACAAAGCTTCATTCCCTTTGATTTCTTACAGCACTAGACAATAATGCATCTAACTGGATAGGAGTCTTATTAACCCTAACGACACTTTTGCCAGAAAGCTCATGTCAGCAGCCTGGAGCTGAATCTGCAGCATTTGAGTTCATTTAGATGTAATCAGACTTGAATCATTGAAGGCAGGGCTGCAGTAAAAGCTTTCCTAGCCAAGTGTCCAAGATACTGGGACTGTACCACACAGGGTAAATGGAGAGAGATACCAGTCACCCCCATCCTAATTATTCCCCTTTCAGTTTGGCTAGATTTCAAATTAAATATAAAATGGAATAAAGTGTATTCTTTGGTTACACTAGCAATACATACAACTTTAGGTTCCCTACAGCAATTTCCTTTAGATAAACCAGTTATCTTACACGCTATTGCCAACACCAAGCATTCAAAATTAATGAATCAGGCCCAACAAATCATGATTTTTTTTTAAATACTACATTTTGGGTTATTTTTATTTGCCATATGTTTTTTGAGTCTCTAAAGATCATGTCTTCTAGCCTCTCTCTGAAGCCATCAATGCTAGAAACTTTTTTTTAAATGAAAGCTGAGATTCTCTCATCACATGACTCCAGCAGCTGGGGCTTTAAGAAACGCGCCAAATTTTGTGAGAGCCATAATAAAATCTCAAGAGTGTGCAACAAATATAAAGATACTTTGAAGGTGCAGAGTTTTCTCAAGAGAAGACTAAAAGAAGATATTAAAGGTATACTGTCAACTTGAAAAAAAATCAGATTTTCATCCAACAGTTTTGGACCTACTTTTGAGACACAAAACCCTTAACATTCTTGTGCCTGAAGGAGATTAGAGAAAAACAATATTTGTCTATATTTTTCCAAGTTAATTTTGTGCATGTGACAGCACTTCGTGCAGTGTCCGGTTCTGCTGAAGTCAGCTACACTTAATGTCTCATGCACCAGTACAATGAAACCTCCCTGGTGTGGAGCAGGAATTCATTGGCACACTCTTCCCAAAGCCTCACATAAAGTTCTTTACTAGAAATTGCAAGAGAGCTGCTGTTCCCTCTTAATTCGGAGTTAGCAGTATTCTCTTCCCTTAACCTCTGAAGAAGGCAGAGAGCGGGGGGCGAGGGGGCTGAGGGAGCTCCCTCTTCCTGGAGTCAAGGCAATACGTGAAGAAACAGAGAAGACAGTCCGTCCGTCCCCTCCATACACACAACTTCACTTGACTTCCCTGAAAGTTTTAGATACTCTGCAAATCAAACTCTCAGTCTCTCAGTCTGAGTTTCCCCACCCATAAAATGGGGCGACTGACTTACCGCTCTCACAGGTGTTATGAAACTTAATTGTTGCCAAACACTTAGCAGATGAAAAGTGTTAGCTAGCAGCATTAGTCCAAGAAAAGAGGTATAGAAAAGCTTTATTCACACTGGGTGAAATTCGCCCACGTACAGAATCAGCACAAGCCCAATGCACCAGTGAAGTCCCACTGATCCTCAAAATGGGGCCTTGGGCTGGTTCTCTGCATGGGGCTGAATGTCACCCATTTTACTTTGAATTCACATATGAATTTAAAAAAAAGACAGATACTGATGACAGCGTGTATGTGAAAGATATCCCCACTGAGAGGTTTGGCGACAGACACCCGGAGTTCATCCACGGAGCAGATACTGCAGGCGCTACAGCAGTACAATCTTCCACATAAAACCCACCAAATACCTCAACTCTTCCTTGAAGGATTGGAGAGTAGTACGGTCTTCATACCCATCCTTGATCCCTATACCATGCCAAAAGAGATCACCAATCAGGGCTCCCTGGGGTGATTGGTTTATGTAATGTGGACACCTGCCTGCTTTGAAACAGACTGAGCCCTCTAACTTATTTCATAGAATATCAGGGTTTGAAAGGACCTCAGGAGATCATCTAGCCCAACCCTCTGCTCAAAGCAGGACCAATCCCCAGACAAATTTTTAACCTAGTTCCCTAAATGGCCCCCTCAAGGAGTGAACTCATAACTCAGGGGTTAGCAGGTCAATGCTCAAACCACTGAGCTATCCCTCCCCCCGACTCACCACTTGAGCTGGAGTTGAACTGGCAACACTAGGCTCCCTAATGGATTACCAAACCACCAGCCCAACCAATCCCTGCCGTTCATGCCTTTTGGCACTTTACCAAAACCATGAGGTGTTCAGAGACCCCCACAGCAACAGACTACAGACCAACGCAGCTGGTCCTGGCCGCTGGGCATATCTACACTGCATACGGGGTTGACCTTCCAAGTCCGGGTAGACGGACTCTTGCTAACCGGGTTTATGGTAGTGCTCTAAAGGTAGCTGCGTAGCTGTCGCGGCTTGGGCTGGAGTTTGGCTCTGAACCCAGGGCGGATGGGCAGGAGGAGGGAGACAGGGCTTGACACCCCAAACTCCAGTCTGACCTGTGTCAAAGCAACATCTACCCCGCTCTTTTTAGAGCGACCATGAGCCCTATTAGCACAAGCCTGTGGGCCCATGCTGGAAGGCTCACCCCCAGAAGCACCGTAGACCTGCCTTGTCAGTGTCAGGATGCTGAACTAGAAAAGGCCAATGGCCTGATGCAGTCGGCTAGCTCTTATGTTCAAGGAGTAGTGATCTATTTTTAGCCATGGGATCATCGATGAGGGGTGGAAAGGAACTTCTGGACTAATCGCCCAGGCTGTATTCTATTCTATATTGGTAATATCTGAGCCCCTGCACCAGAGCAAGATCATCCTTTCCCCTGGATCCCAGCTTGCTATCGTCTAACACTAGACACGTATGTGACAGGCAGATGGCAGATGGACGTTTGATTTTTTTGGCATGCTTTTCTCCACAATGAGCAGGACTGTTTAGACTGACCTATTCTTTCTTGCATAGTGTCGTTTGCAAAGCTCTCGCTGAGACTCCTGGGGAAGTGAGTAGAAAACTGTTCATTGAGCCTGAACATCATTTGATTTCCTTTGTGCTATAGTCTGGATCCTGTGCACTGCTGTAAGGTGATGAGCACTCAACTCCTTCTGACGTCCATGGGAGCTGGGGGACACTCAGCTCCCCACAAGAGTGCTCCGCACCCTGCAGGATTGAGCCTTTACTGTATTCTGCAATAAGCCAGGTGTTTCCTCATTATTCCACTCCAGGTATTTAGCAATTGATGTGCACTGGAAACTTACCAGTTATATATTATAGACTTATAGAAAGAGACCTTCTAAAAATGTTAAAATGTATTACTGGCACACGAAACCTTAAATGAGAGTGAATAAATGAAGACTCAGCACACCACTTCTGAAAGGTTGCTGACCCCTGTTCTAGGGCCTGGTGTTCTAGAGAAGGTCAGATTAGATTATCACAATGGTCCCTTCTGGTTTTGAAATCTAAGAATCTCTATGAATGTTCCCCCTCCAAACACCACACCCCACAACTCCCACTGGGTTCACACAGCTCTGCTCTGTTTCCCTTTCCACTTCATGCAGTCACAGTAATCAAGTCACCCCTCAACCTTCTCTTTAAATTAAACTCATGACCCTTTCCTCAAACCTAGGCTGGACTTCACGTAGAGAACAGAACTGAACCCCACCTGGATGTGGGGTGGTCTCTGGCTCAAGGGGAAATTTTTTCACAACCCTAGACCAGATCCTAAGAGTATGTAACTGGTTAAGTTGACGTTAACTGGTCCTGAAGATGGTATGCATCTCTGTGATGATCCCATTAAAACACATCATAGGCGCCGACTCCGTGGGTGCTCCGGGGCTGGAGCACCCACAGGGAAAAACTGGTGGGTGCAGAGCAGCTCCCCGCCCGCCCCAGCTCACCTCTGCCTCCGCTCCGCCTCTGCCTCCTCCCCCGAGCGTGCCGCCGCATCCTGCTTCTCCCACCTCCCTCCCAGCGCTTGCGCCGCAAAACAGCTGTTTCGCGCGGCAAGCCTGGGAGGGAAGGGGGAGGAGGGGGAATGCAGCGCACTTGGGGGAGGAGGCAGGGCCGGGGCAGGGATTTGGGGAGGGGTACAATAGGGGCAGGGAGGGGCGGAGTTAGGGCGGGGACTTTGGGGCAGGGGTGGAGTTGGGGCGGGGGCGCGAGCACCCACCAGCGCAGAAAAAAGTTGGCGCCTGTGAAACACATCTGTAAAATCCGTGTAGCAGTCTTCAGAGCACAGAAGACTGGGCCTGGAATGGAGGTCACTCAACATGAGTAAGACAAATTACTGTGCTGGTCTGTCTTTTCCTGTTTCTTAGCTCCACCACCCTTCCCAGGGATTCCGCTTTGGAACGGTGCGAGAAAGCAGCGCTGAAGATTATGTCAGGCAGAGCTTCCCAGAGATGCACGAGTACATGAGACGGTACAATGTACCTGCAACTCCTGATGGAGTGGAGCACCTGAAGTGAGTCTCTGCATGCTAGCTTCATGTGATAACAGGCTGATCAAAGAGTAATTAATTTCACAGTCCTTGGCTTCACTAAGGCCCTAGTTCAAAGCTCCTTGAAGCTAATGGACATATTTCCAGTTACTTCAATGGGTCTTAGTTATTCTAAGTGTCCGCTGTACATGCTTTCTAGATTCATCCTGCTTTGTATATTTTTTTAAAAGGGTAACAAACTTTGCTTGCCTGGATCATATCCAATTTTCCATTTCCCAAGGCATCAGCAGCATTGCGCTGGCATGGCAGAGCCGGCGAAGAAGGCACAAGCTCATTCTCCATCACTAGAATGGAGCAATGCCAATGTAACAATGACAGCCTGGATAGCACAGAGAGGCACTTACAGTCCTCAGGGAAAGCAGCCCTTTCCATTGCCACTATAGTGCCAAGATGACCCGTCTGCTGCTAACTGGTGGCAAAATAAATCCAGGCAGATTTCAGTGCTTGGAAGATATTCATTAGGAGGTGGGCACTATCCATGAGGCAGGTGCAAAGCACTGATAAAAACAAACCTTAGAAATCTCCGTGTCTCCCACACAATAGCAATAGGTGGATTGCCCCCAACAGAGATTCCTTAGAAAGATGTATAAAAGAATTAGCCATTAATTTAAATAAGAACATTAGTGACACTAGATCATTCTTATAATTTTCCACCATCAGTCCTCATGCTTCCAGAAAGGTGTGAGCTTTCAAATATGTTTCCCCCACAATGTTTTGCAATTGATTACATACATTGCAAGGTAGGAGGCTGCAATCAGGGGCATCATCACCCACAGTTTAGATCCCCTGGTGATCTGTATAACAAAATGCCTCTGATTATATTTTTTAATAATTTTTATGGCGCCCTGGTTGGTTTTCATGATTAACTCCTAAGACACTGCCACATCCCCAGCGGGTGTAATTCAGTATAGTTCCATGGAAGCCAGTGGATCTCTGCCAGTTCGGGATTTGGGCACTTGTTTTTTTCCTTGATTGGATGAGAACACATGCCGCCATTTCCACACATGCCTTCAGTACTTTCAAATTTGCTTTCCATAAAACATTCATACCAGTGAAACTCAGTCATCTAAATGTTCATGGAACACAAATACAAGAGAAAAGCAAGCCTGGATGAAGGACATACATTTTAAAATAGCAGCATGTATCCATGGAAAACCTTTCATAGGGTTTGCCCAGCTCTAATTTTTAAGATTGATCTACACTATGTTAGAAGCAGCATAAGGAAACCGAGCCTGAGTGACAACCTTGGAGATTTTTGGTTTCCTCCCCGGTGGTCTTTGTGCTACTGTGCGAGAAACTCAATTTGATTCTCACCCTGTTGCACTTTCCTTCTTCCAGGTCAAAGATATGTCAAGTGAACAGAACTGGTCTGTATATGAATATTCTGCTAGCCAGATCAACCTCTCTGCACATGAACCCTTCAGTCTTTGATATTTAACTCAATTCTGTGTTTATATCAATAGCCCCTGATCCTCATATTTATTGGGCTTATAAATTAGGTTTTGGCTTGGTTTCATGTTGGGTTTATATCAGAAGCTTCCTAAAAACTAGATCAAATATATTCCTGGTTTCCAGCCCTGAAACAATCGCTTCTGTATCAATGAACATAACTGTACAGCTTCTCTTATTGATTCTATTTTCTTACTTTGATCTTAAATACAGGCATGATCCAGAGAAACTAGATGCCTTCATCATGGATAAAGCACTCTTAGATTATGAAGTGTCAATAGATGCTGACTGCAAACTTTTGACAGTGGGGAAACCGTTTGCCATTGAAGGTATTTCAGACAGTATCCTTCTCCTTCTGATACATTCTGCCTGCCAACATGGATTGCAGACATCAGAATTAAAGAATATTGGCCAGATTCTGACCCCCCTGAACTCAGCAAAACTTCTATAGAATATCAGAGATGGAAGGGACCTCAGGAGGTCATCTAGTCCAACTCCCTGCTCAAAGCAGGACCAATCCCCAGACAGATTTTTGCCCCAGATCCCTAAATGGCCCCCTCAAGGATTAAATTCACAACCCTGGGTTTAGCAGGCCAATGCTCAAACCACTGAGCTATCCCTCCCCCTGACTAGCCATCAACTTCAGTGAAGCCAGGATTTCCCCTTATTTGTCTTTCAATGTTTTCATTTCAGCTTTCAAATCGCTTGTCTATTACATTAACGTACGTTCTCTGTCTCACCGTTATTTATATTGTGGTAGCACCTACGAGCCCCACTCAGGGAACCCCATTATGTTAAGCACCGTTCACACACAGAACACGAGTCTCTCTCAAAGAGCTTGCCATCTAAGTATTTCATCTCAGGCTAGTCCTATGTAGGCTAAATAGGAGAATATAGCCTGCTGAAAGGGTGCTTTGTGATTAGGGGAGTGGCGCTTAGACATGCTCTACAGTAATTGCCCCAAACATTAAAGTAACTCTATGGTAAGTGGTTGAGTCTATTGCTATGGAATGGGGTGGTATTTCTTTATAAAGACAACATCCCCACTGGGATTTATCTGTGCCTATGGGGCTAGTCCTGCTTGCTCCCGTGTGGGAATGGAAAGCCTTGAAGGCATCAGAACCTATCCATGTTGACTGCGCTCGGGACATAGGATGCCGGAGGACTGGTGCAAACGGGATGTGGATGTCTTGCCCCTAGAGCTGTGATCCCCAAGGACTATTTTTTTCATTGTTGCAAGGGAGAGGCAGATAGTTTGATGGTCAATGGCGAGGTAGGTCCACTGGCCATGTCGCCTTGCACTGAAGAGCTACTGTAGCCCTAAAGCAGTGATAAGTGCTTGGTGGTAGTATTTCTACCACATCCACAGTGGATCACCCTGCACCAAGCCTGCGTATGCAGCCTTCCCTCAGGGAATAGAAATTGACCCTGTACTTGGAAAAAGCAGTATCTAATGATACCTGTACCACTGTCAGACAGGGGAGACTCGTTTTCACAGTTCAGAATGGAATAACGTAGCTACTGAAAGACTTTTCACCCATAATACTGGCAAATTCAAAAACTCCATTCCCCCTCTGTAGGCCCCCCCCCCTCCAGAATGGATTCCCATAATCCCCCTTTCAAACAGTCAGCTTGATTATTCAGCTGGGGCTCGATTTAAAATAACCAATTCACCCTCTCCAGTTACCTGACCTCTTAAAATGCCAGTATATTAACAGTGACACACAGACAGCTTCACAATGCAGCCGGAAAGCAAAACTTATCAATGAGCCCTGCAAAACACATTAGCAGCTATTACACTTCGGGCTTTGTTTTTGTGATGGATGGGCCATGGAAATGATTTTTCCCCCCTCCTTCCAAGAACAGTCAATCCAGTCGCACCATCACAAGGCGAGGCGACCTCTCCCAGAACGTAAACAGATTCAGGAATTTAACACGGGAAATGAAGCGGATGGAAGCAGAGTAGTTTAATCATTCAATCTAGAGGCATCAAAAATGCCAACCATATAGCAAATCCCTTTTGCTGGAATTGAACAGTGACACTAAGTTGTAGCCATTTTATAGCACACTAGGACATTAAAAAAGCAATCCATTTTTATTTCCCACCAGGGGTTATAATGGTCATAAAATCTGTCTATGCATCAGCAGTTAGGTTTACACTTCATTAAGCGTACATGTGAGAATGACTAGCTTTATGGAGATAGCTACAAAATTACTAAACTTTGAATCCATTGAAGTCAGAAACAGTAAAAATAATAAAATCAGGAACTACAGCTTCTAGCATCAAACTACCACCTATTTATGATGCATATTGTACTGGTTCTTTTGTGCTGTCTTTTGTGGTTTTCCCCACACACGGAGTAGCCATAGACTTTCAGTCTGAACTCCTTATCTTTAAGATTAAGGAAAACAAAAGAACACAAGTAAATGTTCCACCTTGGAACAGTGTGTACATCTCCTCTCTACAGCTAGTTATTCAGGCTGCAGGAACTTGGAGAAAAACAAACCACCACCACCTCTTATAGTGTACGGTCCATCAGTAGATTTCAAAGCATTTTACAGTCGGAGGTCAGTTTCATTATTCCCATTTTAGAGATGGGAAAATTGAGGCACAGAGCAGGAAAGCGACTTACCCAAGGTCACCTATCAGGCCAATGGCATAGAACTCAAGTCTTCTGAGTCCCGGTGCAGTGGTCTATCATCGGCACACCAACGTTTTTAGAAATGTAAGGTGCAATACACAGATAACAAAGATGCCATCATTTGACATCTAGATACCCATCACAATGCTACCTCGCTTCATTGTGTCGCAAGCCACTGGGGCCGCAGACTTCCTGCTGGTAGTCAGTTTGCATCTCCAGCTCTGTCCACAAAATATTTTTGGTACAGTGTTTGTGAGACGAGGCTACACTTTAAAGAGGGTACATCTAAGCTGCGAACCAAAAACCATGGAGCCGCGTGTGTCAAAAGAGTAGTTGTACAGGCAATTGGTAATTTCCTGCTGGCAAATGACAAGGTGCGTGTGCAGTTACTTGTTTAATGTGCACAGTTGTATGCTTCAGTTGCACAAATTAGAGTATTTTAAAAATAAAAAAAACAGGGTTTTTTTTCTAAAATGTGGTATCCAGTAATTAGAATTATTGAGTCTGTTTCTCATTTGCACCGAGGATTTTTTACAGTACTCTGGAAGTGTAAAAGGACCCTCAGGTGGATATAAAATACATGGGTGCCTGTTTAAAGTCCCTTTACACTGTCAGAGCAGCATAAAAGAATTTTATGTCTACACTGGAGCTGGGAGGTGTAATTCCCAGTTTGGGTTGATATACGCAAGCATTAGTTTGAGCAGAGCTAGCATCTGTGTGTCTACCCGAGCTGGGAATCACAGCTCCCAACTGTGGGTGTAGACATTGCCTGAGTCAGTGTGAATGAGAATCAGGCCCACTGGGTATTGAGCTATTGTGAGGTATAGCAATACAATCTTACTGCAATAAAATCTCACAATATCTCAGTACATTTTAAAAATAATTCAGTAAATACTACATGATTCTCCATTGCAGAGTCCAAATACATGTCTGCACCTGTAATATGTGCCTTCTAATCAAGAAATATAAGGCCAGATTCCAATTTACACCAAGGCCACCTTGTGCTGCTCTGGGAGTGTGAAGTGGCTGCAAAGTGGTTGGAGTCAGAGATGGCAATTTCCTGTGGAAAACTAGTTTAGGAAGGGGCAGTGGGAACATGGTAAGTGGGGAACATGGAGACCTGGGAGATGGGTCGGAAACGAGAGGGAGTGTGGGCTATATTGGCAGAGAGAAAGGAGGGTCAGGGCAAAACTGGGAGGCAAGATCAAACCAGTATCTTAGATGCCTATATACAAATGCGAGAAGTATGGGTAATAAGCAGGAAGAACTGGAAGTGCTAATAAATAAATACAACTATGACATTGTTGGCATCACTGAAACTTGGTGGGATAATACACATGATTGGGATGTTGGTGTGGATGAGTACAGCTTGCTCAGGAAGGATAGACAGAGGGAAAAGGGAGGAGGTGTTGCCTTATATATTAAAAATGTACACACTTGGACTGAGATGGAGATGGACAGAGGAGACGGAAGTGTTGAGAGTCTCTGGGTTAGGCTAAAAGAGGTAAAAAACAAGGGTGATGTCATGCTAGGAGTCTACTACAGGCCACCTAACCAGGTGGAAGAGGTGGATGAGGCTTTTCTTAAACAACTAACAAAATCATCCAAAGCCCAAGATTTGGTGGTGATGGGGGACTTCAACTATCCAAATATATGTTGGGAAAATAACACAGCAGGGCACAGACTATCCAACAAATTCTTGGACTGCATTGCAGACAACTTTTTATTTCAGAAGGCTGAAAAAGCTACTAGGGAGGAAGCTGTTCTAGACTTGATTTTAACAAATAGGGAGGAACTTGTTGAGAATTTGAAAGTAGAAGGCAGCTTGGGTGAAAGTGATCATGAAATCATAGAGTTTGCAATTCTAAGGAAGGGTAGAAGGGAGAACAGCAAAATAGAGACAATGGATTTCAGGAAGGCGGATTTTGGTAAGCTCAGAGAGCTGATAGGTAAGGTCCCATGGGAATCAAGACTGAGGGGAAAAACAACTGAGGAGAGTTGGCAGTTTTTCAAAGAGATACTATTAAGGGCCCAAAAGCAAGCTATTCCGCTGGTTAGGAAAGATAGAAAATGTGGCAAAAGACCACCTTGGCTTAACCACGAGATCTTGCATGATCTAAAAAATAAAAAGGAATCATATAGAAAATGGAAGCTCGGACAAATTACAAAGGATGAATATAGGCAAACAACACAGGAATGCAGGGGCAAGATTAGAAAGGCAAAGGCACAAAATGAGCTCAAACTAGCTACAGGAATAAAGGGAAACAAGAAGACTTTTTATCAATACATTAGAAGCAAGAGGAAGACCAAAGACAGGGTAGGCCCACTGCTCAGTGTGGAGGGAGAAACAGTAACAGGAAACTTGGAAATGGCAGAGATGCTTAATGACTTCTTTGTTTCGGTCTTCACCGAGAAGTCTGAAGGAATGCCTAACATAGTGAATGCTGATGGGAAGGGGGTAGGTTTAGCAGATAAAATAAAAAAAGAACAAGTTAAAAATCACTTAGAAAAGTTAGATGCCTGCAAGTCACCAGGGCCTGATGAAATGCATCCTAGAATACTGAAGTAGCTAATAGAGGAGTTATCTGAGCCTCTAGCTATTATCTTTGGAAAATCATGGGAGACGGGAGAGATTCCAGAAGACTGGAAAAGGGCAAAAATAGTGCCCATCTATAAAAAGGGAAATAAAAACAACCCAGGAAACTACAGACCAATTAGTTTAACTTCTGTGCCAGGGAAGATAATGGAGCAAGTAATTAAGAAAATCATCTGCAAACACTTGGAAGGTGGTAAGGTGATAGGGAACAGCCAGCAAGGATTTGTAAAGAACAGATCATGTCAAACCAATCTGATAGCTTTCTTCGATAGGATAACGAGTCTTGTGGATAAGGGAGAAGCTGTGGATGTGGTATACCTAGACTTTAGTAAGGCATTTGATACGGTCTCGCATGATATTCTTATCGATAAACTAGGCAAATACAATTTAGATGGGGCTACTATAAGGTGGGTGCATAACTGACTGGATAACCGTACTCAGAGAGTTGTTATTAATGGTTCCCAATCCTGCTGGAAAGGCATAACAAGTGGGGTTCCGCAGGGGTCTGTTTTGGGACCAGCTCTGTTCAATATCTTCATTAACGACTTAGATATTGGCATAGAAAGTACGCTTATTAAGTTTGCAGATGATACCAAACTGGGAGGGATTGCAACTGCTTTGGAGGACAGGGTCATAATTCAAAATGATCTGGACAAATTGGAGAAATGGTCTGAGGTAAACAGGATGAAGTTTAACAAAGACAGATGCAAAGTGCTCCACTTAGGAAGGAACAATCAGTTTCACACATACAGAATGGGAAGAGACTGTCTAGGAAGGAGTATGGTAGAAAGGGATCTAGGGGTTATAGTGGACCACAAGCTAAATATGAGTCAACAGTGTGATGCTGTTGCAAAAGAAGCAAACATGATTCTGGGATGTATTAACAGGTGTGTTGTGAGCAAGACACGAGAAGTCATTCTCCCGCTCTACTCTGCGCTGGTTAGGCCTCAACTGGAGTATTGTGTCCAGTTCTGGGCACCGCATTTCAAGAAAGATGTGGAGAAATTGGAGAGGGTCCAGAGAAGAGTAACAAGAATGATTAAAGGTCTTGAGAACATGACCTATGAAGGAAGGCTGAAAGAATTGGGTTTGTTTAGTTTGGAAAAGAGAAGACTGAGAGGGGACATGATAGCAGTTTTCAGGTATCTAAAAGGGTGTCATAAGGAGGAGGGAGAAAACTTGTTCACCTTAGCCTCTAAGGATAGAGCAAGAAGCAATGGGCTTAAACTGCAGCAAGGGAGGTTTAGGTTGGACATTAGGAAAAAGTTCCTAACTGTCAGGGTGGTTAAACACTGGAATAAATTGCCTAGGGAGGTTGTGGAAACTCCATCTCTAGAGATATTTAAGAGTAGGTTAGATAAATGTCTATCAGGGATGGTCTAGACGGTATTTGGTCCTGCCTTGAGGGCGGGGGACTGGACTCGATGACCTCTCGAGGTCCCTTCCAGTCCTAGAATCTATGAATCTATGAAATACTGGCTTAAATCAGGAAAAATAATTGCATCAGTGTCCATCAAGTTCAGCAAGCATAGAACAAATCTTTTCAAACTTCAGATACATCCATTCAAAACTGAGGAATAGTCTCGGTCTAGCCACTCCATCAAAATTGGTCTTCTGCTACAGAACGCTTTATGACACAATGATCCAGTCTGCAACTCTCGCATGCGTCTGATTGCTTAATGCTTGAAGCCTACAGCTCTGCATTGCTGTCATTTTCATATAATCGAATGGTTGTTGAATGTTGTTTCTATAAGAGTGGAAACTGAAATTAGAGTCAAGACATGTATAACTTCCTTGAGAAAATACCAAACCAAAACATACACAGACGTTCCGAAGTTCAATATTATAATTCTATATATTAGCATTACGCCCACTGCAGTTTTATTTTTTATTTGTACAACCCTAAATTAATCTATGAATATATTGCCTTATGTAACCACAATTTGAATATAGAACTAAAACTAAGTGTAATGTGGTATGCATTAACAAAACAGTTTTTAAAATAGAAAATGCCTTAAACTGCGACTAACTATTTTTTCTCAGGATGGTCAAAACAATGATTTTACCTGGTAAAAAACCACTTTGGTAAATATCATGCCAGCCCGGCTTGGAATTTATTCCCACTTGAAGGCCCTTTTACATTGCCAGAGTGATGTAAAGAGGTCTGGGTATAAATGAGAGAGGCCCATAGCAAATGCATAGAAGAGGCTGTGTTTCTGAAATGAAGGCATTCAGAAAACATTCACATGCATGTTGCAGTATCACGGTGTGGAATTTCTTTGGCTTCTAATTGTGCACTTTTGTTTTTGCAGGCCTAGTCATTTGCATGAGTAATTGTGTGTGCACAAATGCGGTTTGCATGATCCTGTTTTCCATTGTGAAATCTCATTTGGGTTTGGGCCCCTTCACACTATAGAGGAGTCAATGCACAGCTTTGGACCTGGTTTTCGGACCCTAGAGCAAAGCACAGCACCGTGCCACACACAGACCTGAAGAGGATGTGTTGATACCAACTACTCATGGACAACCAAAACCAACCCAACTAAAAAACCTTGTATTTGTATTTTCTCCTAGGGTACGGCATTGGCCTTCCTCCAAATTCTCCACTGACCTCAAATATATCTGAGCTCATAAGCCAATACAAGTCCCATGGCTTCATGGACGTGCTGCATGACAAGTGGTACAAGGTCGTACCATGTGGGAAAAGAAGTTTTGCGGTCACGGAGGTAAGCAGTCCATTTAGTGGTCATAGAAATGACCGTGTCTGGGGTTTGCGCTGACTGCTTATTATTTGGAAGGTTCATGACACACAAACAGACAAGAGTCTCTGGCTGGGCGAGATTACAATCTAAGGCTGGAAGTGGTAGCTCAATGCGCTATGATTACGAATAGACCAGTGTGGTCGGGAACAAAGCACAGGGATAACAGGAGTAAGATTGCATGGTTGCATTGGATGGTGAAGCTCGCATCACATAGGTTCTGTACGTGTGTTAGAGCAGAATACAATGTGTAATGTTGCATCATGTGGTTAGAACAGCAGATTTTGTAGATGCAGGTACACGTTGTTAAGTGGAATCAGTTTAGTGTAGTTGTACAGTGACTAGTTTTAGTTTCACATAGGTCACTCTCTGAAGTAGCTGACAGCAGGAATATCACAGGAAAAAGAACAGACTGGGAGAATCTCAGCTAGTCTAATAATATAACTGTGCCTACTGAGAGGGTACCTTCTGCTACAAGGATAACAAAGATTTCAGCTAATTACACTTTCTTATTTGCAGATTGGAACTTTAGAACCTAAAAATAGGGGGCTTTAAGCTATCATTGTATGAACAAAGTAAATGCATATTTAATAACTTAGCAAAACTGAAATATAAAAAAAGGCCAATCCTCAGTTGGAGTAATCTGGCGTGACTCTACTGAAATCAACGGATCTAAGCCAATGTTTAGAGCAGCTGAGAATATGGTCCAGTGTAGAATAAAAAGACATCTAATATGAATGAGAAGAGAGGTAGTCTTCTTGGGTGAATCTAAGGGTTAAAAGGTTAAAAAGTGAATTCAAGAAATCAAAGTCTTGAGGAACCTAAAAAGAGTTTGTAGTTTAGAAATTAGCATGTTACGTACATTTTGTTCCAAAGTGCTGTACCCTGACACAAGCTATCAAATTTCTGCTCATATGAAGTACACAGTCATGGATCCTCAGCTGAGTCAGCCCAACCCTACCCCAGCCCTCAGGGTTACATGGGTATCTGGAAGAGCGACCAGAAAATTCCACACAAGAGCCTGATTTTGTGGAATTTCCATTTCTCCAGTTCTGCCCACGCCCAAAAGATTCAGATGAGCATCTAAATTCCTTGGTCGAACTGAACCACTAAAGCTATTGGAGGTTTATCCATCACTAATTGTTAATAGCATGTTCTAGAGACTGGCCCAAAGAAAAACCCAGAAACAAATATCCTCAAACTTTGGTGGAGTGTAGATCTGAATCCGTATCTACATTTTGCAGCTTGCATCAGTGTTTAGTATTTTCATTAATGTCAACATGAACCTAATTAACACTTTTTTAGTTCCCTCAATAAAAACGTATACTTTTGTGTCTCTAATGTTCAGCCAAATTCCAGGAAAATAAATTTCGAGGGGGGGGGTGGCGGGGAGAGAAGCTTAGTCGAGGCAATTTCTGATCCAGTTTATCTGGAAACTATATTAATATCCAAAGGGAAATGTTCTTGGGGAAAGGCCAGGTTTTAATGCAGCATATCGACTCTTGACAGCCTGTTCGTTCTGTGACCTCCTGTTATTTTACATTGGAAAACAAGTCTCTTGAATTAAACCTGATCAAGATTGCCAATAGGCAATGGCAGTTAATTAGCACAAGTTGCTTAAAATTGAAAACCTTTGTCTGCCAGGGACAAACTCGACTTTTGAGTGCTTCCCTATGAAATGTTAAATTGGCTTGTTAAGCGTTTGCATTTTAAAGAGGGCAGTCAAAGCTCAAATACATTTGACAAGTCTCTTTTTGACGAGTCCTTTGGAAGCTTTGCCATGGAAGCAGGGCAATGTTTGTTTTCAACCCCATATAGAACTACATGGAGCGTGGGACCATAATAAGGGAGCTTCATTAAACTGAATTTTAGAATTTCTGATCATGGGATTTAATCATACAAGACTGTAGTTCTGTGGTTGTTAGCAATGGGGGTTTCTTAACGTATACCCAGAAGCCTGAGTATAGAACTCCCCACAGAGCAGGGAATCTCAAGTTTCATTGAAATGCTCTTTTGCCTCTCCCCCAGTTACATTGACAACAAAATGGATGAACTGAATGACTTCGGTGTCTGATTCACAGAACCCCTAACCTCTGTCTGTCTCCATCTCACTCTCTCGCCTACTTCCTACTTCTGTGATACAGAAGGGCCAGGGAGCAGTGGTAGAGGGGAAATATATAAGCCCTAGGCTAATTAAGGCGTGGTTCCCTGTAGACTAGGGAGGATTGCTACAGGTTAATTGGAGCACCTGTAGTCAATTAAGGCCCTGTCAGGAACCTAGTAAAACCCCCCTGCTTCAGGCAGTCAGAGGAGAAAAGAAAAGACAAGATGACTGGAGCTTGGAGGTGTGTTGTGAGATCTGAAAGAGCAGAGAACCAAAGTAAGGGAGACTCCCTCCCCCAGTGTCTAAGGACTGAAGATAACCCCTCCCAAGGGGGAAGAGGGTACGAAACCCACAGGGATTGCAAGGGGCTGGGACTCAGAACGAGGAGCAAACCCAGACCCCTCCCCTGCTTCCCTCCTCTACCACCTTCCCGGGCCACTAGCGGGGCCTTTGGCGCACAAGAGCAGGGGCAAAGGGTGGCGTTTTAGGGTCCGTCCCCCCCAAAAAAGCGCAGAACCCACCATATGAACATCAGCCATCTTGTCACAAGACCTATAGGGTCCACCAGCTGGCAATGTGCCATACAGATCACAACTCTCATCTCTGCTGTTAAAAATACATTGGAACTGCTGAACATGGATTTTTTCCTCCTCTTTTCCACTTTCACCCACACAGATGCATTGACATGCAGCCCCAGGGGGGCTGTTCAGACCTTGCACTAAATGAAGCATGGCCAGCTCTCTTCATGAAAGTGAACTGAATAGAATCAGAGTCCACTGGCGTTCTGATGGCAATGCAGCTCTCACAGACGGACTGACAGATGTCTAGAAGACTGTAGTCATTAAACCCCCTTGTTCATTTTGAAAGCTTCAATGATGTAGGTGGGCAAGGGACTCACCATCATACTGAAGTAGGGTTCTAATGGGCAAGAGACAGAGCTAGAGACATACCTCGTTATCAGGAGCCTCTGAAGAAATTAATGCAGTCCAGGGCTATGTTAACTTTGACTTTTGAAACCATAGTTGTACAGCCACATAACCTATTCTTTAGTGTCAGGCAGAATAGATCTCAGGAGTGTGACGTGTTGCTACGTGTTTTCTCCTCTGCAAGTCAACCCATCACAGCATTTCACACCCATCCAAAACCAACAAAAAACAAAACAAAAAAAAGCCTCCCAAAGTTTTTAGTGATCCAGACAATTTTTGGATGAATATATTAGACGGGTACAGACAAAAGCAGAAACCACCTGAAACCCAAAGATGTAAGATCTGCACCACACCATATCTAGAGCATTTTATTTGCATGTGTAGGGTCTAGAGAGAGAGTGGGGATATAAGGAACCTTACCTGTGGCATCAGTATCTCATTGAGCCAACTGAATTCCAGAATCAGACTTTTGGCTAGAGATAGAATTCAGATCCAGATTTTAAGCATCCCCAACATTAGTCAGTTCTGCAATTTTGGCTGCAGTTTCTTTCTACTTTTCTCAAGAGGCTCTTGTTTGCGGGGGCATTTCTCAGGCCCTCAAGATTGTCTCTAAAATCTCAGGACTTTTGGCTGTGCCACCATAAGACTGACAGTGAATAGATTAGAAGAGGGAAAGATAGATAGGACCTGCCCAGGCAAGCTGCGGAGAAGACGCTCCTTGAGTCTTGCTATTTTCTAGATTCATTTAAAATCATTTATTTGATGTCTTTTTTTTTTTTAAGGGTGGGAGAGCGTCAGTTAAGAGGAGTCATGTTGGTCTTTCCTCTTGCCCACTGTAAACATGCATGGATAGATCAAGACATTAAAGAACTACAGCACATAATTACCTCAATAGAGACAACTAGTGGCTATAACATTAAAAAGGTTCCACATATCTTTGTTGAAGGAACATTACATACATGCTTTTTAGGTGCTACTTGTACTCAGTTAATGAGGGATGAATCAGGAAGGAAAGCACACAATTTGTTGACCTGGAATAGATGAAATAGCAACCTGAAATCAGCAGATATTGAGAGAGACTAAATATTGAAACCATGTCATTCTTGTCATTTTTCTGATTCTAACCAGTTTAAACACACAAAACTAATAAGAGAAGTGCTCCTGCACATCCATCTACTGTCAACACTGCAGTAACATTGTGACCGATCCAAAGCCCACTGAAATCAATGATATTCATGAGGTTGCAATCAAGCACTTTATGTAGTTTTAGCCCAGTCCTGTGTGATGCTAAGAGACCTGGGTCAAGATCATTGGGTCCTATGGTAACAGCTCAGACCATATCTGTCTGAGGCAGGTAGAAATGGTGGCATTATCAAAGCAGGCAAAGATTCCCAATGGCCTGCTAAGAATATGAATATGAGAAGAGATAAGGGAAGAGTGGGGAGAAACGTCTGCAAAAATTTTCTCCAGTTCAAAAGAGCATTTCAGTTTGACTGTGTTCGCAACCTGTGTGTGTTTCCTTTCTGCGAATCTTCAAATACGTCAGCTTTACTAGCTTTGTCACAATTCCAGGGTGAGCTGCACTTCAGACCCCTTTTAGTCCCTCTTGAGCGCACCCTTCGGGTGACACTTCCCCTCTCTCACTTCCCCTCAGGGGCGGCTCCAGGCACCAGCGCAGCAAGCGCGTGCCTGGGGTTGCCAGCCGCGGGGGGCGGCAGTCAGGCAGCGTTCAGCGGCATGCCTCCGGGAGGTCCGCCGGTCCCGCAGTTTCGTTGGCAATTCGGCGGCAGGTACACCGAAGGCGCGGGACCGGCAGATCACCTGCAGAAACGCCGCCGAATCCGCATGACCAGCCGTGCTTGGGGCAGCAAAAAACATAGAGCTGCCCCTGCTTCCCCTTGCAGGGGACTCTCAGTGGCCGCCCGCCCCCAGCTCCC